CTGTGGAGAAAAATATAGATAAAATAAGATAAGGAGGAATGGTGGAGAGAAAAAGAAATACGGAGAGAAAGAAGAATAGGAAAAGGGTGGAGAGGGGCCGAGGAAGACGAGGATTAGTAGGAGGGAGAGAGGGCAAAGGGATTATAGACAGAATAGAGGAGGAACTGAAAAAGAGAAAAGTACAAAATTCACAGGAATATGTAGATAAACGTAAATTAGAAAGACAATCTAGACAAGAATAAAGATGAAAGTAGAAATATAACTAGAGCAATAAATATGGAGGGGAAAAAATACCATAAGTCAAGAAACGAAAATATCTTAAAATTTTTCCCATAAGGCACAAAAGAAATAAGAATTTATTAACTATAGTTGAACATAATTTATCTTAAGTCAGTTGCGAGCATAATAGAGGGTAAGTGAACAATGGTAACGCGTGGTAAGTAATCCCCTGGTTAATTACATCTTGCTAATGACCAATTAGTCGTTGTTTCATTGTTATGCAGGGACGACCCATGCAGATCATCCTGCAACACCACTTACTGATTCAGTCATACCTGCGTAGCCAGTCAGTCACATCTTACATTCATTAAGTCATGCATTACAGTCATCCAGTAACACCATACACTATTCCAGTCACACCTCACACTATACACTATTCCAGTCGCAACTCACACTATACACTGATCCAGTCACACCTCACACTATACACTATTCCAGTCGCACCTCACACTATACACTGATCCAGTCACACCTCACACTATACACTGATCCAGTCACACCTCACACTATACACTGATCCAGTCACACCTCACACTATACACTGATCCAGTCACACCTCACACTATACACTGATCCAGTCACACCTCACACTATACACTGATCCAGTCACACCTCACACTTTTACACTGATCCAGTCACACCTCACACTATACACTGATCCAGTCACACCTCACACTATACACTGATCCAGTCACACCTCACACTATACACTATTCCAGTCGCACCTCACACTATACACTGATCCAGTCACACCTCACACTATACACTATTCCAGTCGCACCTCACACTATACACTGATCCAGTCACACCTCACACTATACACTGATCCAGTCACACCTCACACTATACACTGATCCAGTCACACCTCACACTATACACTGATCCAGTCACACCTCACACTATACACTGATCCAGTCAACACCTAAACACTATACACTATTCCAGTCGCACCTCACACTATACACTGATCCAGTCACACCTCACACTATACACTATTCCAGTCGCAACTCACACTATACACTATTCCAGTCGCACCTCCACTATTACACTGATCCAGTCAAAACCTCACACTATACACTGATCCAGTCACACCTCACACTATACACTGATCCAGTCACACCTCACACTTTACACTGATCCAGTCACACCTCACACTATACACTGATCCAGTCACACCTCACACTATACACTGATCCAGTCACACCTCATACTATACACTGATCCAGTCACACCTCACACTATACACTATTCCAGTCGCACCTCACACTATACACTGATCCAGTCACACCTCACACTATACACTATTCCAGTCGCACCTCACACTTTTACACTGATCCAGTCACACCTCACACTATACACTGATCCAGTCACACCTCACACTATACACTGATCCAGTCACACCTCACACTATACACTGATCCAGTCACACCTCACCCTATACACTGATCCAGTCACCACCTCACACTATACACTGATCCAGTCACACCTCACACTATACACTGATCCAGTCACACCTCACCCTAAAACACTGATCAGTCACGCCTCACACTATACACTGATCCAGTCACATCTCACACTATACACTGATCCAGTCACACCTCACACTATTCACTGATCCAGTCACACCTCGCACTATACACTGATCCAGTCACAACCTCACACTATACACTGATCCAGTCACACCTCACACTATACACTGATCCAGTCAACCTCACACTATACACTGATCCAGTCACACCTCACACTATACACTGATCCAGTCACACCTCACACTATACACTGATCCAGTCACACCTCACACTATACACTGATCCAGTCACACCTCACACTATACACTGGTCCAGTCACACCTCGCACTATACACTGGTCCAGTCACACCTCACACTATACACTGATCCAGTCACACCTCACACTATACACAGATCCAGTCACACCTCACACTATACACTGATCCAGTCACACCTCACACTATACACTGATCCAGTCACACCTCACACTATACACTGATCCAGTCACACCTCACACTATACACTGATCCAGTCACACCTCACACTATACACTGATCCAGTCACACCTCGCACTTATACACTGATCCAGTCACACCTCACACTATACACTGATCCAGTCACACCTCACACTATACACTGATCCAGTCACACCTCACACTATACACTGATCCAGTCACACCTCACACTATACACTGATCCAGTCACACCTCACACTATGCACTGATCCAGTCACACCTCACACTATACACTGACCCAGTCACACCTCACACTATACACTGATCCAGTCACACCTCACACTATACCACTGATCCAGTCACACCTCGCACTATTACACTGATTCCAGTCACATCTCACACTATACACTGATCCAGTCACACCTCACACTTTTACACTGACCCAGTCACACCTCACACTATACACTGATCAGTCAACACCTAAACACTATGCACTGATCCAGTCACACCTCACATTTATACACTGATCCAGTCACACCTCACACTATACACTGATCCAGTCACACCTCACACTATACACTGATCCAGTCACACCTCGCACTATACACTGATCCAGTCACATCTCACACTATACACTGATCCAGTCACACCTCACACTATACACTGATCCAGTCACACCTCACACTATACACTGATCCAGTCACACCTCACACTATACACTGATCCAGTCACATCTCACACTATGCACTGATCCAGTCACACCTCACACTGTACACTGATCCAGTCACACCTCACACTATACACTGATCCAGTCACACCTCACACTATACACTGATCCAGTCCCCACCTCACACTATACACTGACCCAGTCACACCTCACACTAAAACACTGATCCAGTCACACCTCACACTATACACTGATCCAGTCACACCTCCCCACTATACACTGATCCAGTCACACCTCACACTATACACTGATCCAGTCACACCTCACACTATACACTGATCCAGTCACACCTCACACTATACACTGATCCAGTCACACCTCACACTATACACTGACTGTTTACATACACTGAGCAATCCCTCTTCTCCTGACAAGCAACCCAAAACAATCTCCCAATCTGCACTAATCAACCAGCAATATCATTCGTCTCAGTAACAACAAATTCTTCATAAAAAAAAAACAAGCGTCAAAAAGAAAATCATTCCTCCCAAATCACCCGTTTTTATCTCTTCGTGCCAATAAAAACAAAAACAAAATCACGTTCTCCGTGAGAGAGCAACAAACGTTCACACACAGCCGTAGGAAACAAGAACGATCAGAGGAGGCCAAGCAAGTGAGAAACAATGAGAAAACAGTCGTTCTTATCACCGTCATGGGAGAAAAATAAGATATACCAATTGTTTGGGCTGTGATGGCTGCCTCAAACTAGCGTCTGAAAGAGGTTTCTCTCTCTCTTTCTCTCTCTCTCTCTCTCTCTCTCTCTCTCTCTCTCTCTCTCTCTCTCTCTCTCTCTCTCTCTCTCTCTCTCTCTCTCTCTCACTCACTCTCTCTCATTCTCTCTCTCTCTCTCTCTCTCTCTCTCTCTCTCTCTCTCTCTCTCGTGATGAGCTTCTGAAGGCCCTTTTTCAGAAATGAGTAATGGCTGGTGGGGAGGGAGGAATTTTTGCTCACACTAGAGAGAAGAGAGTGAAGAGAGCGAGAGAGCAGATGAGACGAGAGAGAGTGAGAGAGAGAGAGAAAGAGAGCGGGAGAATAGAGGGGCAAGCAATGGTGAGAATGAGAGTGATTAATTTTAAGTTGCTCATTTAGGGTGGGATGAGAAACGTAAAGGGGGTGTAGGGTTGTACATGGGAGGGGCTGACAGCAAGAGGCTATCTGCTGACAATGATTGTACCTATAGTGTAACAACTTTCAATTCTCTCTAGATAGTTGTGATTAATACAGTATAGCAAAGGGCTCTCTTTCCACCCTCCATTTCCTATCTACAAACTGCTGGCTTGACAACCAGAGTAGAAGAATTTTTATAACTTACGAAATTTTATAGGTATAGAACACGAATTTGGCTTCTAATTATTAACTAGTAAACTATTGCCATAGCACTTCTAGTACCACTACTAGTACTACTACTAGTACTACTACTAGTACTACTACTAGTACCACTACTAGTACTACTACTAGCACTACTAATAGTACTACATACTAGTACCATACTAGTACTACTACTAGCACTACTAATAGTACTATACTAGTACCACTACTAGTACTACTATCTAGTACTACTACTAGTACCACTACTAGTACTACTACTAGCACTACTAATAGTACTACTACTAGTACCACTACTAGTACTACTACTAGCACTACTAATAGTACTACTACTAGTACCACTACTAGTACTACTACTAGTACTACTACTAGTACCACTACTAGTACTACTACTAGTACCACTACTAGTACTACTACTAGTACTACTACTAGTACTACTACTAGTACTACTACTAGTACCACTACTAGTACTACTACTAGCACTACTAATAGTACTACTACTAGTACCACTACTAGTACCACTACTAGTACCACTACTAGTACTACTACTAGCACTACTAATAGTACTACTACTAGTACCACTACTAGTACTACTACTAGTACTACTACTAGTACCACTACTAGTACTACTACTAGTACTACTACTAGTACCACTACTAGTACCACTACTAGTACCACTACTAGTACCACTACTAGTACTACTAC